TGGAAGGAGCAGCCTGGTGCCCGAGGGGAGGGGGCTGGAAGGTGTTCAGGGGCCAACAGGGAGGCTAGACCCCAAAGGGATGCAACCCGTGGCTCTCTCCCCTGGCTATGTGTCACTATGTCAGGGCAGTGCAAAGCCATTTGAGAACCAGACTCTGTTTCTTGTTTTTGTCCAGAGCATGGATACTTAGTTTAAAATTTTTTGTTTGTGAGGAAGCTGTAGGAGAGAACAGTGGGACCCCAGCGTTAACTCTCTTGCCTCCTTCGGCAGATGAGTGTCTTGGCTTAGGCACCTGTCCCCACGGTGACCTCTGGCCTCTCTCGGTTTCCTGTCATTGTTTGTCTGGATCTGAGGCTTGGGCATCGGAGGAGCTCCGAAGACCGGCTTCCACAGCTGGGACTTCTAACCTGCCACTATTCTTACCTTCAGGTTCTGAAACTCCTTCTCCTCCTCTTTGAGGACCTCCAGCTGCTTCAGTACTGAGTCTTGTTGGAATTCACCCCGGTCCATCTACAACCCAGAAACGGCCGCTCAGTGGATTGGAGGTGGGCTAAACGTTTGCTTCCCCCAAGGAAAAGATAGAGAAATGAACGCAAAAGAGGCTGGTCATCTCTGCCTCCCCCTCCCCACCTCCTCTGGCTGCCTGGCCCATGGAAGGCAGGTAAAGGAGGCAGGAGGAGACTCCAGATGTTGTCATTGTTCCCGAAGCCCCGTCTTGAGAGACAGAGAGAGACAGACAGGAGGGGTAGAGGTAGGGGTGGGGGCCGAGTGGGGGAGGGGAAGTTTGCTAAGACCACACTTTCTTCCCTTGGGCTAGATACAGCATCTCACTTGGATGATTCCATTCAATCCATGGAGCATGTACTGAATTGTGGGCCAGGCGTACGCAGATTGAGGTGCATGAAGATATAGGTGTACGCATCAGGGAGCTGGATCTGTAGATAATTATAGGACCTCGACTGCTGGGCACTGAAGGCTTAATGAAGGTTTTTGGAAAGAATCACAATGCATAACTACCTGTGAGATGCTGGCAACAGGGGCCACACCTGTTATTCATAGCAATGACTTGAATGTCCTAAGGGTTTTCTTCTTAGCAGAGGCCAAAGAACCTAGGGGCAAGGATCACTTCCTGCTTCTCTTTGGGTCCCCAGCACGCCCGGTACAGCGCCTTGTATATCGTGGTCATTGACCAGAATGGTTTTGGAACGGAATCATAGGCAATCATCTTGATTTGTCATGCTTAGCGCAGTGCCCAGTATATGGTAGGGCCGTCACAAATGTCCTGTTTCTGTTGGATGGATGAATGAAATGGCATAGCTCTAAATGACTGAAAATTAAAATAACAGACTGAAGGTGGAGAATGAAGCATGCTTGGCACACAGTGGGTACATGAATCTGAATAACCACAGTGATGCTTATTTTGTGGCACACAGATGCCTCCCCGGCGTCCCTTCTGCACGTGACATGATCTAGGACAGGCTCCCACCCACTCTCTGAGCTGGGACGTTTCTTGTTCCTTGTGACTCACTTTCTTGGTCTCTTTCTGGAGCCTCATGAATCAACCAGAGGGCTTCCATACTGTTTCATTCCAGCCAATGCTCTGGTTCTGCCTGGATTAGAGTTCTTTCCTCCCAGATTCAACTTCTAAGCCTGCCCCCTCATCAGGCTTAGAAGAGCCATACAGGGGCCTGCGGGTAGAGGGAGTCAGGGAACTAAGGTCTCCCCAATGGGAGGCTTAGGGACAAAGCCCTCAGCAGGTCCCTCCCCCTCCACCCCACCCAACCACACACACCCTCTTAAGCGACTGCAGAGCAACCCGCACTCTTTTAGAGACAGTCTGAGGCAACCAGAAGTGAAGGGAATTTAAGGCCCTGTTTGGGATGGAGGACAGGCCAGGGTCCTTCCACACCAGCCTTGATGAAACCCATCTACGGAGACCCCCATCCCTTCCCGGATCTAGGCTCTGGTTTCCACTCTTGTGACGTCAGGCGTCAGGCACTGTGTTAGGCCTGGGGGAAAGAGACATGCAAAGACTTGGGAACGTGCCCTTGGTAGAACTCCGAGAAAACTGGGGGGCTGACACGTAAGCAGAACGATGCACTATAAAAGAGGAGCAGGCAAAGTGTTGGGGGGAGAGCAGGAAGTGCGTGGCTCTTCCTGCTGGGGGAGGGCAAGGACAGACAATTAGGGAGGAGGTGACATTTGAGCTGATTTTCATAGGAGAGTGTGAAACTCAACAGACAAAACCAACAGGCAGAGGGAAGAGCCTGTGGAAAGCCTCCAAGGTAAAAAAAGACTCAAAGGCCAGGAACTGCAACGTTTTGGAATGTCTGGAGGGCTGGGTGCGTTTCGTAGGAAGATGGGGCTGGAAAGGCCAGCAGCCACCTCTTGATGAAGGAAGGGCCTGCTGACATGCTTGGTGGTCGGACTTTATCTAGTCGACACGGGGAGCCGCCGAAGGATTTTAAGCAGGCTAGTAACAGGATCCGATTTGCATTCTAGAAGGACCCTTTTTGGTGGACTCTGGAGGGTGGGCTGAATCAGGTGGTAAAAAAAATAAATAAATAAGGTGGTGAGACCACTAAGCCATTTTGTAGTCCAGGGAGCCACGATGAGGCCCTAGTAGGGAAGTGATGGTGGGACAGAGGCAAGGGCACATATTTGAGACAGTTTTTCGAGGTGCAGTTGAAAGGACCTGAGAATGAGAATTAGAAAGAAAAAGACCAATGAGGAAAATGTCTGTTCGATTCAATAATGTCGGTGAGCATCTACCAGGAACTGTGAGGCTCTGAGACACAGGGACGAACAGGCAGCTCGCTCACCGTCTAGTGGAGACAGGTAAGGGAAGGGGTGATTTCAGAGCCACACACGGTGGCTCACGTTTCTTGAGCACTTAACTGTGTTCCTCGGGCTCCAAGCCCTTTCTGCGTTTACCCATTCAGCTGTCACCACCTCCCTGTGCTCTATGACTTTCATCCCCACTTCACAGATGAGGAGACTGAGGCACAGAGAAGTCCATGCTCTCCACGCCCTTGCCTGCTGCTGCTACTCCAAGGTATTTTAACCATGACATAGTATGCACTAGAGTTTTCTAGCATGGCTTTCCAGATTCCTGCTCGTATAACTGGGTGGATTACCGTCTATCAACGGGAATCAGGAAGAGGAGGGGCAGGCTTAGGTTTGCTGGAAAAGTTATGAGTTTGCTTCTGGTAAGCAGTCTAGTTTCCGAAGAGGAACCTATGTTTCTTGCAGACTTTTTGGGGGGAAGGGGTGGGGGAGGGGCAGGGCATGTACCAATTATCTATAATATTCATGTGTGTATAGAATTATGTATAGAATACATATGTATTCTATACTGTGCCTGGGTGGCTCAGTTGGTTGAGTGTCTGATTTTGGCTCAGGTCATGATCTCACGGTCCGTGAGTTTGAGCCCCGTGTCGGACTCTGTACTAACAGCTCAGAGCCTGGAGTCAGCTTCGGATTCTGTGTCTCCCACTCTCTCTGCCCCTCCCCTGCTCATGCTCTGTCTCTCTCTGTCTCAAAAATAAATAAAAACATTTAAAAAATTTAAAAAAAGAATTATGTATTATGCGACAACAACGTTATGGCAATTTATGCATATGTCTTGTCTCTCTACCG